TGCTGCTCTCTTGTTTTCACAAATAGCTATTTAATGGCAATACTGAGGCTGAAGTCTAAAATGTGAGTATGAGAAATGCACAGAATGAGGCAATCCACCTAAGGAAAAGTAAGAAGGCTGGGACACCTTAACATGTAAAATGGGGACGATGTTAAGCTTAGCTTATGCCACCTGGTGGCATCCTGCTGTTTTCAAAGCCCATACCATTGGTGGTTGCACTCTTGTCCTCTTACCCTAATCCAAAACCACTAGTCTCGTAGAGACCATTCGGTCCAGACAGGTGTGACTAGGAAAAGTGATGCAAGAGAGAATTTAGGCTGGCTGTTAGATTAGACAGTGAGGAAGCTGCTGCTTTGGGATTGCTTGCAGGGAGATTGTTGGAATACAGTAGGACAGGGAGAAAGAAAAGCCCTTTGTCCCACAGATGTTGTATTTTAAGAGATGAAAATGCATCACTTAAATCCAGACTAGACAAAAATCAAGTTTAAAAGGCATTTGGGTTGGTATATACTCGACATGCACATTGGCCTTAGACACTGCAAAGGCTAATTTTTAACTGGCTAAAAAATGTCAGTTGTCCTTCTCCTTGGTGGTTCAATCGGATGTATATATACATATATATGTGCCTGTATGCATGTACATATGCACGTGTATAAAATGAATTAAGGCTTGTGTTACGGTGGAAATGCATGACCTCACTCATTTGGCATCTCCCCCCCTTTTTTTTCCTTCCCCTTTGACCCAATATTTCAGGCCAGAAATCCAGGATATTGATGGCAATTCCCAGTGTCATGGATTAGCGAATGAGAAAACAGAAGATGTGGATGACGAAGATGAAGAACTGGAAGAAGAAGATGATGACAGCCTGACAGGGAAGTCGCAGGATGAAACAGTATCACCCACCGCAGAGCCCCGAGGCACATTTGAGGATGAAGAGGATGAAGAGCCCACATCTCTCACCATGAGCTTTGACCACACCCGAAGGTGAGGTGGGCTATTTCCTTTGAGAAGTCAAATAGGGGTCAGACTTTTGACCGTGTCAGTGGTAGATTGTGAGTGCTATTGTTTTTATTTTCCAACCCATGTATCATACCTCCCGTTTGATTTAAGCATTCACTTGAGAGATTCCATTTTCACCGTGGCGGGGGACACGAAAGACTCAGACTGCACGAGAATCTGTGATAAGATGTATATCCAGGACTTGAAAAGTTTGCATCAGAAGAACGATTAGTGCAAAGTAGAAAACCGCTTTTTCAGAGTACCACCGTTCAGTGGATAATGTGTTTGACTCCAAAACACAGGTCAGGGCAAAGGGAGGGGTGTCTGCATGCAGTCCGTTTGGTACTACTCTACCCATTTTAGTTGTAGTAAAATGTTGCTTTCAAGTGGATTCTTAGAGCTCTGGGAAAAAAGTGAAGTTTTACTTGAACTCATGCCAGGCCTAGAGACCTTTAAAATTAAAATTTGTTGCTCACAGTATAGGCTTAGCCTTCCTTTTTGCCCCAGTTTCCCAGCTGGTATTGATAACAAGTGTTCCACGATGCAAGGAAGTATTATATTTCGTCTCAGTGCATCACTACTTTCATTGCAACTCAAAGAGAATATGGTAGAGCAGGTTGCTTTAGACATTGGTCAAGTGTCAAACGTTTCAAGGAGCAGACAGCATTTAGACATCTCCCCACAGAAGACCAAAGTGAATTATAAGCACGCTGAACGGCAAGCGTATATAGCACTAATGCTTGTATGTGTGTAATCATGCCCTCCGCTTTTTCTTTGCTCTTGCATTTTGTGTCATTTTCTTGTTTGTCTGTGTGTCGTTTCACGCATGTGGCTTGTGAGACCCCCATGGTATGTGCATGCAGGCACTCAGTTAGCAACACTCACGTTGGCTAGTCTGTAAACGGCGAGATGAGCTAACAACAGGTCAACCCCTTCCCCTGGTCATTGGTACAGGTGTATTGAGGAGGACGAAGCCGGCTTGTTAGATTTGGAGCAGATGCCGAATTTTGGGAAGGGGCTGGATCTTCGCAAAGCAGCCGAGGAAGCATTTGAAGTTAAAGATGTGTTTAATTCCACCTTAGACTCTGAGACAATAAAACAGACTCTGTACAGGCAGGCTAAAAACCAGGTAGGTGTTTGACAGAACATTTTTTCTAGCTTGCTGCCAGCACGTACTCTAGGATTAGCAACCTGCTGGCCTCCTTTAGCTAAGGGTTTATTTTGCCCTTCCAGTGAGTTGGAGTTCTGACTGTCATGAGCGAATCTTATGTGAACCATGCCATGTTGCAACCGTACTGAAGGAATGGAGTGCCCGTCAGTTTTAGGTCACTAGTTCAATTTCTCACTCAGGCTGTACCGTGAGAGCATGCTTATATAGAGAGACAGTGGCATCTGTCTGTTTTTATCTGTCTGTGTAAATGTTGTTGCGATTATTATTTATTTATACTTTGGGCTAGATCTTCAATTGGTACCTACCCAGAAACTCAAGATTTGGTCCAGAGCAACAGCAAAAACGTACAGTTGTGTTTGGTGATAGAAAGTGTAATAGACAACAGTATTTTCTGGACTTGCAGTCCAGCAGGTCTAGAGAACTTCCTCATTTATCTCTGTGGTTTCTGAAAGCAATCCGTAAAATGAAATTCTGCCTTGTCGGCTAGACCAGTTCAGACCTACCAAGAAACCTCAAAATAACACCGCAGCATCTCCCGATGAGAAAAATCTGGAGGTGTGGGGTAGAACTGTTTGTGCTTTCTGCTTTCTCATTAATCAGAAATAGTCAGTCTTTGGTTTTATGAAGTTCATGTCTCGATCCATATGAAAGCACTCTCACAAAGGAACTGTTTAACAGAGTTGCATCACTGGACTGGACAGAGATTATATTCAAGTCTTCCAACTTTTAGCTTCAAGCCCCTAACAAGGGTGCTCTGAATTACTGTCCAGCTACCATCACCGGCTGCGTAGGGAACTTGGGCTTCTGCTTTCAGAATACCGCTTTGTACCTAACTACCTGAAGTGGCCTAAAGCAGATGGTGTGCATGGTACCCGTTCTGACAAGCGTCAAGGAAAGCACTCCAGGAAAATTTGTTTAGGAAGAAAATTTGTTTGCCGCTACGTTTAGGAAGACGTAGGCAGCTCAGATGTTAGCAGAGGTTCGACTATATTTAATATTGGAGATGAGTACAGCTGTTGCCTTCGAGTCCCTCTGTAGCCTTCAAGCAACAGAATTGGTCATGAAATCTATTTTAAATGTCCAGCAGCACAGTGCCTTAATGCAATTGACAAGCAGAAGATGATTTTTGATGAAAGATAGCTATGACTTGGGAAAACGTTGACCTACTTCACAGTGGGTACTAGCACTGAAGCCGAGGAAGGGCCTGCTTGGAAGTAGGACAAGGCATCTTTCCTGGTGAACCAAATTTAAACACAAGCCACTTGTCTGATTCTTTTATGTGTCCTGTTACTAATATGCCAACCGTACTAACTGTTTAGGAACAGCTTGCTCTTTTAAAATTTGTGCTACGTCGTTAGTTTTAGACTATGCTTACTTTTCTTCAGGGGAAGGGGGTTATTTTATTTATATTTATATATTTTTAGAACCAGTAGACTGGTTGCAGTTCAATGACAATAAGTATCCTGAATAATTTGAACAATCGCTTACTCAGGGAATGTAAAAATAAAACAACATTTAGGTGAACAGCACAGCACTCTTAAGCACACTTTCTCTTAAGCAATTTTAGACGCCTGTATGTCCATAATACTACAAAGCTGTACTTCTTTCAGCACACACCTACAATAGACGAATGTGTTGACTTGACAAGTAGATCTGATTCAGCTTGTAAGAGGAGAGGCTAAAGCTGGATAACTGGTTAGTACTGTCACCATTACAGTTGCATTTCTAAGGGTCCTCCTGTACTGAGCAGAGTACTGATGAACAAGAAAAAAAATCCGTGCCCCAGAGAACGTATAGTCTTTATCTTTTGCCCTGCAAAAGATTACGTGCGGGTGGGTGCAACCTCAGTGCAAAGGAGAGGGCCACACAGCCACAAATTAATCGTGAAATAGGAGCATACATTGTACCAGCTAGTGCTCGCCAGGGAGGGTGGGGACTATGTCCTCATCTGGTTTAGATCACAGGCTGCAATTTCATTGGCATGAAATTATCACCTGCTTGCTCTGAAAGGATGCAAAGGGTGTGTAAGATAAGCAGTCTTGGAAGAGGGAGAGCATCTAGGTTGCAAAGAAGCAAGCAGGTTATTCTAGAGAAACCCAAAATCGCAATGGTTTTTTCAGCAGACTGTTGTTAACTTTCAGTGCAGCAATAAAACTGTCCCAGCAAGAACGTATGAACGCACTGGCAATACTAGTGAGCATTTCATGCCTATTTTCTAAAATATCCACGAGCAGGTTTCTACAGGTACCTGTGGGCTCATGCCAAGCACTGGGTCAGGACTGTTAGCCTGCTGCCAGCACCTGCCTGTTGGGTCCCAGGTAGTTTGGATATTGCTACACCAGTTCCGTGGCACGTGACCGGGCCCTACCCTCGGTTATCCCTTTGCTTATCTCTAAGTGTGTTATAAAAAAACAAGAAAAGCCGCAGCATATGGCATTCTGCATGTAGCTGCTTCCTCCTGAGAGCAGAGCCTGGAGTCAAGTGCCTGGGCTCGTTGCACAGCGCAGAGCTGGCCTGGAACGGACTGGTCCCGTGAAGGGCAGTGGGAATTCTGGCCTTGCCCAGCTAGCCCGACAGCTGCCCGTGGACTCCGTGGCAAGTGTTGAGAAGCGAGAGTGACGGGCATCCTTCTAGCATGTGGACGTAAAGTGAGACCTGTTGGCAAAGTTCTTAGCCCAGGCCAAAGGATGCTGGCTGTCTTACGTTTCCTGTGTGGTTAAACGGTGTTGTGCTTCACACGGTTTATTAAAGACTCTCCTGCGTGTGTACTCACACATGTCCCCTGCATTACTCTCTCTTCCTCCAGGCTTATGCAATGATGCTGTCCCTGTCTGAGAACGCTCCCCTCCACACGTCCTCCCAGAGCTCTCTGGGTGCTTGGTTGGACATGGCAGGAGCAGCTTCAGAGTCGGGGACCTTTAACCCCATCAACCACCTCTGAGAGGTCACCAAGGCACTGGCCAGAGTCCAAGCGAGGAGGCGGTGGTGCTGCAATTGTCCTAGCAAAAATCCTAGCAAGCAGAAGATGGATGAGAGGGCCTCAGGGAGTCGTCTGGGCTTTTGACTGGGAAAGAAACCTGTCGCATCTGACCTGCAACTCCTGAATTTTTTATCTATCCACAGTTTTCATTTCTAATTTATCAGAATGGACCTCTTCAAAACTGGATAACCCTGATGCAGCCCTAGGATTTCACAGTCTCTTAAGAGTAGCATAAACAAGACATGAATTGCAACGGTGCAATCAAATATTGGCCCCTTTACCGTTACAAGACAGTATCACCGAGCCAGTAGCGTTTGCCTGTAAATGAAGGCTTGAAGCTGTTTGGTACTCTAGCCTTTCAATTCAGCTGAAATATGAAATAATTAGGGAGAAAACCGAGTGGGGGGTGACCTCTCCCTGGTGCAATTCTGTCACAGTCACTGGAGTTACACCAAGGAAGGGTAAATGCAACCCATTTAATTGACCTCTGAAAGCATTTGCAATTCTGTGCTCCCACAGAAATACCATCGTGTCCCTGGTAAACACAACAACAAAACATACCCGCACAGTGCAAAGCCTCTTCACTGGGAGGCCACACTGCATGCAGTCATGACACGCTATATGCAGTGTCCGGCCTGGAGCAGTGCTGAGGTTGGAGGTGATGTATCATGCGAGTATGTGGTTCGTGGTCGTAGGACGTGACCTGAACGCCCCTCTGTCTGGGCCTGCGCTGCAAGGTTAAGAGCGCTTTCCATCTCTGTTAACGCCTGTTAGCTCAAGCTGCTGCTTGAACTCAGAGCGTCCCGAGCGTTTTTCAGGAAAAGCCACGGTCAGAGTTATCTGCTGGCAAGGACAGTAGCGCTCTGCCCCGCTCTGGCCTCGATGTCCTCAGGACTAAGCTGCTGAAAATGCTTGGCCTTTTTGCAGACAGAGAGCTCCCATGGGTAAACCCGGACCTGAAAAGGTGTAGCTGTGTGTAAGAAAGCATGTACAGTGGGCAGGTCTGGCCTAAGGCAAGGGCAACTTAGTCATATCTTCTAAGTTATCTGCCAGGGTTTTTTTTAGAGTGGCAGCCTTTCAGTGGTGGTAGGATCCGGGGACTGTGGCAGACATTTCCGACTCCAGCAGGTGTTTGGGTTTGCTGGGTGGTTGTTTAGGCGTAGCACACTGTCATAATTTGACCCATAATTTCAATAGAAAGTTTGAAATCTCCTTGCTTCAGCAGCCTCAGAGGTGCAAGCTCTCTGTCCAGGCACAGAGCGGAGAACAGTACTGGCTCTCTAAGGTGCTTCAAAGTCTCATCTTTTTTTACTGATGTGAAGCAGTCTCCAGAAATACTGTGATGTTTGTGCTATTCTCCCTTGTAATGACAACCCGATGTTGTAGCAGTGATGTTACAGGTAAAGCTGAATTACAGAATCGTCTGGAAAGGCAGGAGATCTATTGCAAATAGCGACAACATTGGCTACACAGATGAAGTTTATGATACGCGTCCTGAGAATTTTCTAGTTACAGCGTCATAAGAATTAAACAATGCTGAGGACTGGAGCGCTGCCCCCGCCGACTTTGAGCGAAAACGGGTCTGTCTCCATCTTGCGCGTTGACGTGCTGCCTCCGCAGCTTGCTGCGAGGCCGGGGATGCTCTGACAGTCCGCCTGGGTAAAGATCTCGTTCAAAGCCAGTGAGGTCGAGAGGAGCTTTCCGTGTTGGTTTCAGTAGGCTTAGTGCTGGGCGCGCTCCTGTTAAGTGTTGTATCTGGTGGTAACTGCTTCCAGGCCTGGCTCAATGGCTGATTTGAGAGAAACTGCACACAGCGGTCAGTATATCTGCCCGTAAATCCTAGCGACGCGCGGCTTCTCTGCCTCCTTTGTATGAGAAAGACGAGCGGCCGCCGCTGTGCCAGCCCGGGATGGGGTTCTCAGCCAGACAGAGAAACCGAGGACGGAGCCGGGTTGCTGCGTGCTGAAACAGAGGAGAGAGCGACTCCGACCGAGCGGAGGTGCTGCTGGCATCTGCAGCCTTTGCAGTTCCCGCTGTGTGCCCCGGAGCAGCCCCGAGGCTGAGGAGCCTCAGGTGGTCCAGGAAGGAAGGAAGGCGTCTGAGGTGTCTTTGGTGTACCAGGAAGAAAGGGCAAATTGGCAGCATCAGTTTATTTTCCAGGAAAAAAATACCCTTCCTATTCGGTTTTCCACATCACCCTGTGAAAGTGCCCACGGCTCGGGATCCACCAGTCAGTGAAAGCCCCGCTGGTGCGTGTATTTGCACAAAGCTCTTGGGCAAATATAGCCCAAGAACTGCCAATGTCAAAGAAACCAGGCTCTGAGAAGGAGCTGGCGCGGCCCTGCCCCAGCCCAGCTGCCTCTGCCGCTGCTGCAGCACAGACCTGCCCCGGC